TTACAGTTACTAACAACTGATGGAAGACCTTCAACAAAAAACTGGCCGTGAGGCCGGGTGTGGTACACGCCCTCAATCCTAGCACTCTGAAAGCAGAGGCAGGTGGATCTCTGTGAGTTTGATGCCAGCCTGGTCTACACAGTGAGTTCCAGGAAAGACAGGACTACATAAAAAGACACTGTCAAAAAAAAAAAAAGTATGATGTGCTCCATGTAGATAAGGCTAGAAGCTTTTATAGAGGCCACAGTGGAAGCATCTCTCATTCGATCATGAATTCAACACTTCACAAGCACAGTTGTGGGACTCTCGTGCTTGGCTCTGTATCAATATGACAGCCATCTAGGGTGACAGTCTTGCCCTGCCATCTTTTTCTCTGCTACAAGAAAGAACTCAAAGGAGGAGGGGCTTGCTTAGGGTCCTGCCTGGGGGAGGGGCTTCAGCCGGTAGGTGGCAGGCTCTATTGCTTCTGTGACTCTGATGAGGTTCAAAAGCCTGGTGGACAGCTGTGATAAAGCCAAGCCACTCACCTCATGGCACCTGGAAGCAGGGAGCAAGAATTCTCCAGGGAGAAGATACACCCTTGGTGATAGCTAGTGCCTACCTCTTAATATCCTTTGAACTCTTCAGTGGATTAACCCGCTGGTACAGCCACCATTCTCGTGGTCCCATCACTTCTACATGACAGCAGCAGCTGGGGCCCAAGGTGTCACCATAACAGCTTTTTAAGGGAATAGTCCATATCCACACCATAATACCGGATGTCACACCACCTCAACTCTTATGTTCTTTCTGCCCCCTTTTCTATTATATTCCCTGAGCTCCAGAGGGGGTGATTAGGTAGCCTTGGCTGCAGTCCAATTGTAAGCAGCCATCACTGGGTTCATGCAGGGGAATCCCTGGAGCTTACCTGCTAGGTTTCACAAGCAGCAGTGTGGACCAGCACCTGGAGCTAGATCCCGAGAGTCACACTCAAGTGTCTGAGTTCAGTTTAAGCCACCTGCTAATTATGTGGCTCTGGGTCATCCAGATGTCTCAGAGCAGCCACAGGAAGAGGTTGCCAATCACTGTCTTTCTTCCACACAGGGCCCTTGCAAAGTGTAGTGTAAGTGTAAGGGTTATTATCCAATTTCCCCTACCTTCAGCCGTCACTGCCTATCTGCCCACTCTGAGGTCCCTCTTCTACATCAGTTTCCCTTCTTTTTAAAACAATGTATTTGTTTTGAGGCAGGTTCTCAATCAGTAATCCTGTCTAGACTGACTGAACTGAGCAGCACAGGCTGGCCTCAAACTCACAGCAATCCTCCTGCCTTAGCCTCTTCAGTGCTGGGATACAAGGATGTTTTAAGGTTTCCCATTGTTTCAGAACAAAGTCATAATCCTCATGGAGAGTCTCAATCCAACTCCATCTCTCTCCAAATGTATTTCCCTGTTTCTGCTCTCTCTCTCTCTCTCTCTCTCTCTCTCTCTCTCTCTCTCTCTCTCTCTCTCTCTCTCTCTGTCTGTCTGTCTCTCCCTTCTATTTGGTTTTGAAAGCAAGTCTACCTAAGTAGTTCAGGCTGGTCTTGAACCCCCAGTCCTCCTTTTCAGCCTCCAGAGTGCTGAGATAACAGGTGTGCACCTCCACACACGGCCTGCATTCTATCAGACAGCCACTGCCATCCCATTCAATTATAATGATGTCTTTATTTCCTAAGAAGCTCTGTAAGCTCCAGCAATGTGTATTAGTTACCTGTTGCTACAAACAGAATGGCAAGATTTAGTAACTTTAGATATCAAGTTCTTACTATCTTATCATTGCAGTGGGTCAGGAATTTAGGTGTGGCTTACACTGGCTGGCTCTAACTCAGGGAGATTTACAGGGTGGTCAAGGGGCGTGGCTACAGGACTCTTAGAGTTGAACAATCTGCTTCCAGAGCAGCTGCTGGTTGCTAGCAAGAGCTTTCCGATGTTGCCATATGAACACTTGCTGTATGTGTTTGAGTATTCACAAAATACAGCATCTGGGTTCTCCCAGAGAGGCTGGGAGAAACTTGAAAGGCCTTTTAGAATCTACTATTAAAGGTAAAAAAAAAAAGTCACTTATACTATTTTCTGTTAGAAGTAATCCCATTAAGTCTAGCCTACATTCAAGGGAAGTCTGACCCCCCCAATGAAGGGAAGACAAATTAGTTGGATTTAAAGACATATTAAACTACCACACCTGACTATCATATGTCTTTGTTCTCAGTAACTAGCTGTGTCTGCCACACGGTAGATGCCCATGGACATTCCAGATGAAATGGCTAATAAACAGGATAATAACAAAGGTAGAGAAAGGGTCAAGTGTAGAATGATGGAGATGAGGATTGGTGAGAGAAATTCAGTCATAAGAATTTACAGGACTCTGCTGGGCGTTGGTGGCACATGCCTTTAATCCCAGCACTCGGGAGGCAAAGGCAAGCAGATCTCTGTGAGTTCGAAACCAGCCTGGTCTACAAGAGCGAGTTCCAGGACAGCTTCCAAAGCCACAGAGAAACCCTGTCTCGAAAAAACAAAAACAAAAACAAAAAAAAGAAAAGAAAAAATATTTACAGGACTATGAGTGAATAAGAAGGGTTGTGAATGGGTTTGCAAAATTCCTGCAAAATGTGGGATGCCATCAATTATCAGTATTAAGAGTGTGCATTGAAATGTTTAACCCATCGTTTGTATTAAGATGGCTTGGGCAATAATTTGGTCTTAGAGATGTCCATCATGGCTGAAGGAGGCTTTCTGTACTTCCTCTGCTGGTGTCAACGGATGTACTGCCAAAATGCATGTTAGAATCTTATGCCTGATTGTTCAATTATATTGCAAAGGGAAGTAGGGCTGGCTATTAGCAGCTGGAACATCATCTAAGACATCTCTTTTATGGCTTAGTGTCTTACTTATCAATGGGGATTGTCTGTTTCCTGGGGATTTTGGCCTAAAGTATTAATGTTAAACTGACACCATTACACATTTGAAGGAAATTCCAACAAATCATTGTGAAATATGGGAGACAGTTAGGTGGCATCATGTCAAATACTAGAATTCTAGCTTTCATATTTTTAAGAATGCAGTTCCCCAGGGCTCAGACTAATTGGCACAGCTTCAAGCTGACCATTAGAACATTCCTACATGGAAAGTCAAGCTGCTCCAGATTCTTAATCTTTTTGTTCTTTGAAAGGCTGGGGGACACACACACACACACGCACACACACAAATTTCCGAAGCACCTGGGTTGGGGAGAAGGCTCAGTGAGTAAAATGAAAGCACACACTATACAAGCGCGAGGACCTAAGTTTGAATCCCCAGAACAGGTGTAAAAGCTGAACCACACAGGAGGAGTGTTTCAACTGTGGGATGGAGGGTGGACACAGAAAAGCTCTCAGAAGCTACAGGAGCCGCCAGCCTGGTCTACACAGTGGGAAAATCAACAAAAAGAGAGACCTTGGACCAAACAAGATAGAAGGTGAGGCCGGCAGGAGCATCTGACCTCCACATGGAGTGAATGCCTGCATGAAAAAGAATGTGTGAGCTCGTGCATGCACACCCCCATACATCACAACACACACACACACACACACACACACACACACACACACACACACACACACACACACACGCCAGTATTGACATTAAGCAAAGGCTAGTCCAGTATAGGCATTAATGTACTTTTTTTGTGCCGGGCAGTGGTGGTGCACGCCTTTAATCCCTGCACTCGGGAGGCAGAGGCAGGCGGATCTCTGTGAGTTCCAGGCTAGGCTGGATCGACAGCCTCCAAAACAATACAGAGAAACCCTGTCTCGTAAAAACCAATATATATATATATGTATATATGTATATATACATATATATATTTTTTGTTTGCTTGTTTGTTTGTTTCCCTGGGAGTTCAAAGACCAAGGGCTGCATACTAAATAGTGGGTAGTATAGAATATAGAAGCTAAATTTCACTAGGAACTCCATTCAGTTCCAATTATGCTCAGCCTCTACCATTTTCACAAACTCATATTTACTCAGAAGTGAAATAGCCATGGAACTAATTTTTAAAAAGAAATTAAACAATTCTTTGTTCATTTTCCATTTCTGTACATTTAGAATTAATTAGTTGTTCATTACTGGCAGGATTAAATCCAATATTTGCCAGTATAATTTATTTTACAAGATCTTTTGTCCTTCCGGAAGTATTTTTAAAACTTAATAATTAAATGGAAACTTTGGATGAGAAAGTTATTGTCTTATTTCTTCAGTGTTTATTTTTCCACTTCTGACCAATTAATGCTGACTGTTGTAGATTTTGGACGAGGCTTGGAAAGCTAATTCAGGGTAACACCTGGCCTTTTAAATTAGGGGGTCAAACCTGGGCTACCTACACTCCATCACAAAGTAGGCTCTACAAGGGAGGGCCTTTGGCGAGCTTAGGGCAGGTTTTGTGCGGTTGAGCCTAGCCCTGGGCAAGTCCTCAAACAGTGGAGTAGCCGGGCATTCATTTAAGGTCCAGTGCAGGGCTGAGGCCAGCGAGCAGGCCAGAGCAAAGCTTCCCGCTCCGGGCCCTTCCCGCGGAGGAAGAAGCTGGGCGCGAGGAGTGGGATCCCGGCTCACTTCCTGTCCGGCTGGCGGGCGCCGCCTCCTCCCGGAGCCGGAGTAACAGGGCTTCTATTCCCGCGTCTCCGCGAGGCTCTCCCCTGTGTACCCAGGCCAAAAGCGCAACTCAGGGCACGGCGCGAGGGTTAAGTGCTCCAGGCTCGCACAGGGGGCGTGGTCGGTGGCGCTCGCCTGGGGTTTAGGGGCGGGCCGGTCGGGGGGGGGACGGGGGCGTGGTTGGAGCGCGCGCCTTTGCGGCCGGGGGGCGGGGCGGCCGGGAGGGGGCGTGGCCAGAGGCCCGCGCCTGTGCGGTCGCGCCGGGGAGCGGGCTGTGGCCAGGGGCGGTTCCGGGCAGCAGGCCGGGGGCGGGGCGGTCGGAGGAAGGGGGCGGGGCCCGAAGTTGTTCCGCGCTGGGCAGCGGGGCTGGCGGGCGAACTGGGCCGGGCCGGAGAAGTTTTCGCTGCGGCTGCTGAGCGAGGGTGCGGGCCCCCGCAGGTAGTGCACGCCCGCTGCCATGGCTTTCCGTAGGAGGACGAAAAGTTACCCGCTCTTCAGCCAGGAGTTCGTCATCCACAACCATGCAGACATCGGCTTCTGCCTGGTGCTCTGCGTCCTCATCGGGCTTATGTTCGAGGTGAGTCGAGCCGGGAGGGGTGCTGCAGCAGGGACAGGCGGTCTCATCTCCAGTGCACCGCGGTGAAGACACGGATTCCCTGACCTCATCTGGGCTGGAGCGCGCCTGACTGTCCGGCACGTTATCCGCACCTCTGGCTTTGTGCACTGTGTCCACCCTGGCCTGGACCTAGGACAGTCCGGACAGCACCTCTAGCTCCTGGGCTGTGTGGGCCATGCCATGCTTTGTCGCCCCCTTGAGCACCCACCATACCCTGCAACTCTCTCTCTGCATCTCTGAAATCCGTGCCTGGCCTCGAACCAATTGCAGCGCGCTGCCTTCTTGGCCCCAGGATTGGGGTTTCCTTTCTGGCGTCCTGGTGCCAAGCTGGGAGACTCCCAGACCCGCAGTAATTGCACAATCCCCCCTCCTCCCAAGTAGGAGCTGCCAGATCTAGGTTCTTCCACTGGGAGGGACCCTAGCCCTTCTCCACCTCTCCTGTGGCTTTCTGGGAGGTGTTCATCCTAACCTCCGAAGCTTGCTCCAGGTGTCCACATGTGGCCCTGGCTTCATCCCAGTGGGGGCCTTCTACGGCCAGCCTCTCTTTAAATATGACCTGAAGGGTTAGTTTTAAGATATCCTTTGGCACTTTGGTTTGTCCCTGTTGATCTATGTGTGAATTAGACCCAGAACCTTATCCCCCTTTCCAGGATCGAGGAGAGGTGAAAGGTGAGTCTCTTGTAGCTGCAGGGCCTGTGGGGTCGGAACAGAGAATGGGATCCTAGATTCAGCAGTGTGCTGGTTGGTGTAGGCCTCGGAGCTGGCTGTGTAAACCAAGGGTCCGAATCCAAGGGGCTGGGCTGATGGTCCCTACCACAGAGTGAGAGAAAGCTCCGGTACTGAAAAGTAGAAGGACCGGAGTGAGGGTATGGGTTTGCTGTGGTATATCTGTTTCTGGTCTCCAGAAGCGCCATATGTGACATTTCCTCCCTCTCACTGAAGTCTCCCCATCCTGAAGCTCCTGTCCTCCCTTCTGGGTAAGGTTGCTGATCTGCATTCTGGGGGACATTAAGATGCTGCACCATTTAAAAGTTGCCTGACTGTCTCTGCAGCTACTTGTGTCCCCCTTCAAGGCCCTGTTTGGCTGAGGAACCTGCCCTTTAGCTGGGGATGTTCTTTTGGTGGCCCGATCTGGTCTGGATGCCTGCCCTTGGCCGGGCTGTAGAGTTTGCAGGAGAGAAGCTGTGACTGGGGTCCACGCTCTTTTGGTAAAGCCGTCTGTCAGTTCATTCTCGACTCCCCTCCTCTCGTGTTTCCCTTGAGCTTCTGGAGGAGAATGTTTCATTGAAGACTGACTGCAGCCTCAGTTTCCCCATACTTGAAGAAACCATTAAAGCTGTCTTCCTTACAGTCATTGTAAAGCCTAAGGCTGGGGTTATGTCAGCAACAAAAGCCATTCCTCCCCATCAGCGAGAGAATCTGTTTCTTGCTCTTGGATTCTTGTTATTAGTTAACGGAATGGCTTAACGAGAAGGCAGAGGACCCGCTCCGCTTAGCATTTGCTTTAGGCCCGTTTGCTGTCCTCCTCTCTAAGAGGCTTCTCAGTGCCATGCTCCAGTTCTTGGAGGATAGGGCTGGAATGACACATGTGTCAATCATAAACCTCATAGCCATGTGCTCCGCAGCTGGCCACAGTCTCTTGCTTAGCCTGTGGTTCTCTGCTATCTCTAGCATTTGTTAAGACTTTTGTGCAAAGAGATGCCTACTATTTGCACCCCTGCCTCCTTTGTTCACTATCTCTAACCTTGTTTGCGGGAAGTCCTTTGCAGTAGGTCTGTGGAATCTGTGAAGTGCAGGAATTGTCATTCCTAGTACCTAATGGAAGAGAAAAAAACAAGGTGGGGGGGCATTTTCCTTCAGGAATGGCCTTAGGGTTGTAGAACAGCCTTGGTGGCGATGCCAGCAGGCCCCGTCTTTCTCCGTAGTATTTTAGCTCTTTGGGACTCACAGGACAGATGTTTCTTCCGGAAAATGCTTTGAGGACTCACCAGTCTGAGCTGGTTTAGGAAGAAGGGGGCTTTCCCCAGAGCCTCCACTATCAGAGATTCCTGAGCTGAGCTGAGTGTGTTGTATGTAGTAGGTGGACAACTGTTCCCACCCACTGACTGTAAAGAGATTGTGTCTGTGCGTGTGTGTGCGCGCGCTTGTGCTGTGCACGCTCACGTGTGGGCTTGCATGCGTGCGGTCAGTTATCTTAGACCACTGCCATCGCCACTGAATGAGAACAGAAACATCCTGGAAAGTAGGGGGTGGGGAGAAACCTCAAAACCTAGCATAGGATGAACTGGATATTTCTGGGATCTTTCCAAGGGTGGTGGTGGTGGCGGTGGTGGTGGTGATGTGTGTGTTTATAGGTAGACATATAGTAGGGAGGTTTCGGTAGAAGTGAGGACAGAAGGAGCTGTAGGGCGAGCTGGGAGAAAAATCATCAGGCCCATGGGTTTGTATCTTGGGCCAGGCTAGGGTTCCTTCATTCGGGAAGCTGAGTCAGGAAAACTGTATATTAATTCATAGAATAGAATGTGACTTTTGTTGTCACCCCCTCCCTAAAGTCCCCTGCCTAGTCTCTGCAGTTTCCTTTCCCCCCTCCCCACACCCTCGCAACCCACAGACTGCATATCCATGTCCACCTTCCCTTACTGGTCACCTCTGCAGCACTCCTGGGTTTAGATTTCCCTCTGAGGATCCCCAGGGCTTCAGTCCCGTCTTTAGGGAGATGCTGACGCCAAGTTCCTTCCCTTGGGATCACTTCCTTTTGGGAGCACATGAAAGGCTGCCTGGCCCCTGTCCCCCCCCAAGTCATGCCCAGATGCACTTGAAGTTTAGTTTTGGGTTATCTTATTTCCAAGGCAGGGACGGCTTCTTTCCCAGGCCAGGTTTTGTCCCATCGTCTGTCTGTGTGGAGTAGAGCTGTTCTGTGCAGCCTCTGCACTTGGCTGAAAAATGTCAGGAATGTGGAACTTTATTCCCCCCCCCCCTTCCTTTCCAGCTTTCTCTTTCTTAGCTCTGGTCCGGGAGAGGTGGTGTTAGGGGGACTTCGCTTCCTGCAGTGAGGGCTTTCTTAGGCGGAGTGTGGTTCCTCAGGGTGTGGGTGGCCAGTTGGAATGTGTGGAGAAGTCAGAGGTAAAAGTAGCCACCCCCTCCCCTTCCCTTGGCGACCAGTGCCTCGTGCCACGTTTCCAAGCGAAAGCGGCAAGGGAAGAGGAAAACTCTTTCATTAGCCAGTGGAGAATGAGAAATAGGGGGCGCCTGGAGGAGAGGAAGCAATTTCTGTACCACCTTTACAACGTCATGTCAGGACAGAAACTGATTTCTTCTTCGGTTTCTGCAGCTGTAGGGCGATGTTTCGGAGTTTCTGAGACTCATTTGTAGGTTTCGTGTTTGTTTGTTTGTTTGTTTGTTTTGTAAAGGCCAAGGTGAGGATGTAAGGTTTTAGGACCCAGAGGAGCTTGAGAATGGTAGCTGGTTTGGGCTTCTAAACTTATTTCTGAGCCAAGTGTAGCAGGTAGCTCCTTTTTTTTTTTTTCCAGGAACTACTTTCTTCCCTGTTCCTGACCCCACGTGGGCCAGACTTGTCAGGAAGAAATATTTGCAGCACATACAATGGAAGCCTTTTGCAGGTGTCATATGTGTCTGGACTGGGGAGTGAGGTCTGTGACACCAGTTCTCACTCATGGACATACCTGTGGGTGTCATAGCCTACAACCGGACAGCTAGTCCTGTCTCTTAGTGCTAGGTGAAAAGTTATGCATTGGGAAAAGATTTTTCTGTTGCGTTCACAGAAGCATGTAATGGCACATGGGAACACCTGTGGATGCCAATTGGGGTTTTTTTTTTTCTAGCTTCTAGTGCACTTTCGGGAATGTTGCTTTGTCAGCTTTTATAATTCCTGACTTTTTGCTTGTACTCAGGGAGCTTGAGACACACACACTCTGCTGCGGATGCTAGAGGCCACTATGAGGAGGAGTCCCGCATCCTCATGGGCGGACGCCTTGCTTGGCTGAATTCCTACATGTGGCACTCAGTGATTTGAGCAATGAAGCCGAAGCTTGGTGTTTGAGTTTCTCTTGATCAGGATCCCAGGCTAACCCTAGTCCAGGGGATGGAAGGGCATATTCATTATTCTTCCCTTGGCGAAAGTGAAGGATGGTATTGGTCAGCTGGTGAAATTTTGACTACAAGTGCAAGGTGAAGACCAGCGTGTTACAAGACCCCCAGCACAGGGGATTTCACCGCTGCTTCCCTGGTGCCTCTGACTTTGTTATTGGGTCTGAGGGTCTGCTCAGAACCCTCATTGAGGGCCCTGGCTGGGTGTCATTTTAGAGATGATGTGTTTTGAGATGGATACCTTTCTCCTAAATTCTCCTGCACTAGCCATCTAGCATCCAATGACTGTCCCTGACTCCCCTAGTTCCCCCTTCTCCAAAGGATCCTTGTGCTGTGGCTGTGCCACACACACCAGGTTTTCTCTTGGACATTTGCTTTCTTAGAACACGGGGTGTGGGTACCAGAGGGTCTTGGTGCTGCCAGTGTCAGCACTGGAGCAATAAAGAGTACAGGGAAACTGCCCCGGAAGCTAAGTAAGTTTTGTCTCACTGTCTGTTGTCTGAACCCACGGTGACTTATTTCTAAGAGGCGCTTTCCAGGCTGGTCACAGCAGAGCGACTTAGTCCCGACTGTTTGTGGAATAACATGTGTTGCTATGGTGAAAGCTTCAGTCTGGCAGGCATGGACTCCTTTTTTTTTTTTTTTTTTTTTTTTTTTTGATCTGCTGCATCCTGGGCAGGGGCCCCAGAAATCATTCTGTGGCATTGCTGATGTACCTCTCATTCACACCCTGATAAGTGATGAAGCCAGAGGTCTGATAAGAGCGGATTAGAATTCCCACTGACAGAACTGCTTTCTAATCGGTCGCTGTGCTATTAGCTAGCTTTGGTGGGAAACTCTACTGATGCTATCTC